GATGGGTCATAATACACTCACAAAATCTTCAGGGGAACTGCCTGAAAATTCAAGGCTGTTTATGGACAGCTGAAATTTCAGGAAGTATGCCTGAAATCTTCAGGCATATTTCACTAGAAAAAGTCTACTCGGTCTGACATGATCTCGTGATACGCCTTCTTGGCTCCTCTTTGGCAGGTGAAGACAAGCGAGTGAGCTATGGCAGCCGCAGCTGCAACCTCGGCTCGGGCCGAGGTGCTGGCCGCCAGCCGCACTAGAGCCGGCAGCTGGAGAGAAACGAGTGGGAGCCCGAGGCCCAGCTACATCTTGCCGAGGCCCGGCTACGTCTCCCCGCTGTGCTCCGACTACCCGCTGAGATCCTCCTCCTTCTCCCAGGTGACGAAGAAGCGCTCCCTCCCCGTCGCCGTCCTCAAGTCCAGTTTCGAGAGGCAGGGCTCTCTCCACGCCGACTCTGACGGGAAGATGGTGTGTCCCGATTTGTTTTCTCTGAGAGGCCGCGTTTGGTTCCTAGTGCGATGCCGTAGATCTGCAGCTGTGAAAGAATGAAGAGGAGTTATGGATTGTCGGCCTGTTACGGGAAGCTGAATGATCCTTAATATCATTTTGATACTCATGGAAGGATAAGAATACCCAAATGGTTTGGGGGGCTTACATCGCCAAATTAAAAAAAAGTGAATTATACCTTGGCTGTAACAGCTTACGGTTAAAAACTGGATCGCATTTATCCTATCAAGAACTACTAGGCTGTACTTGTGCAAATTGCATGATTATTGTGTCTGACGAAAATTAGAGGGGCGCGAACGCTGAATCGCTCATCTGCCCTCGCGTAGGCGGAAGATGAGTAGTGCAGATAGGTCTGATGACCGACTTACCTTGAGATATCCCCAGCGATAAGTCTCGAGAAGCGATAAAGACGATAAAGAAATTGAGATAAGGGGATTCAGCTTTGTTCTCTTGATGAGGTTTTTTTTTATGGACATGCTTGGGAATGATTGCATGGGGATGGCTTGGAACAGAAGGGCAGGCCATTCGTACTGATTTTGCTTTTGCAAAATTTTCTGTCGGGAGACCTTTTTGTTTCATTTAAATGCAGACTTGGAAAAGTAATTAAATCTAGTGCACCGTGTCGTCATTTACAGTGAGGTCCTACCATCAGCATTCATGAACTCCATATGCCCTTGCATGCTTGCGACTAATTCTGTTTTCTCAAGGGTAGGTGGATGTTTGTAGTACTGGTTTTGAAGGACATTTTTAGGGCTTGGTACATATTTTAAGTGCAACTTCTCTTTTGTCTTTGGCAGAGTGTGGATGGGGAACTGGAAAGACGCCCGTTGAAGCTAGCAGGTGGGAAAGTGAGCCAAATGGCCCACTTATTTCAGAGCATCCAGAGGGAGACGGAAAATGTGAACCCTGGAATTCTGCATCCACCGAAGGCCCCAGCATCGACTCCAGTCCCAGCAAAGAAGGAAGCAAAGTGGAACAGTGAAGACAACCTGCATTCGCCTGTCCCTCAGGTAGACTCTCCCCGAGAAAGGTTTCCTTTTTGAGGTTCAAAATGAGTGTGGTCTTGTGGTGGTGGTGGTACATGAGGGCCTGAAGCAATGCAGATTTCAGGTTGATGCTGAAGGATTTGTTTTTGAACCTGAGTTTGCAAAATACACACCTGGCTTATCTCTTGCCCACATTGTATCCACATGTGACAAATTTCACCAGGATCGAGGCAATATATTTTCAGATACCTCTAAGTGGTAAGTATGGGAAGAGGGGGATTAACGAAGGTAAACAGGATCAGACTAATCCTACAGATAGCAAGTGCCCATTTATTCAACAAAAAAGAAATGCCTGCTTGAAATTCAATTAAGTGAATTGTAGAGCTCTGTAGATAAAAAGCCTTTTAGGGCTTCTTTTTACCTTTTTATATGAATTGCTCCATAAAGAAGCTTTTGTTCAATGACAGGTTAAAGTCAAGGTGAAATGTTGCTCTGTCATTGGGGAAACTTTCCAGACCCCGTAGTCATGTTGTTGAGTCAGTCACATTGAACACATATGTCAGGCAGGGGGCACTGTGACCTTGGTGACTGTGAGAATCCTCTATAGACTCTTTTGTGTTAAGGGAAGCCACTTCTCCCTGCTCCTCAGCAGCTGCATCCACTGATGAAAGTTTGTTGCTTGTCTTTTCTTTCCTGAGAAATTCTTCCTTCTTAAAATTTGGCTTGATCTCTCAGTTGGGCTAAACTACCAAATTAAGTATAATTCTAATATAGGAGTTTTTCAAACCCCTCTGTTTGGATGTTGTATACCCCTTTGCGAATTATTTTGGAGGTGAAATATTATTTCTAAATAAATCCTTGATTCAGTAATGTAAGTAGACATTTTTCTGGAATAGAGAATGATTCTATAGATATACTAAATACTAAAAATTTCCATGTTTGTGCAAATGTCAGCTGCATAGGCATACCTGCTGCTTTTCTCTTTGCTTGGAGAGCTTGGTGCAAAAATGTTTAAAATTGGGATTTATGGCATGTTTATGTGAAGTGGGTGGAATTTGAGTCACAGACTCTCTGACTGATAATTTCTCAGTAGCTTCCTGTTGTTGGGATGTCAACTTATCATGTTGACAGCCAAGAATGGTTTTGCATTTTTCTGTTTTCCTTAGGTTTTGCAGATGTTGTCATGTCTGTAACAAAACATGAATTGATTAACTGTACTTGGGCAATATAGGCAACTGGTGTTCTCGTGCCAACGACTCTTATGTACCATATGCTTTTTAGTAGTTGGTAGCTGGCAGCTGGGATGCTCCTCGTACGAGCTGGCAGTGCATGTAATTACATTTCTAAATTTAATTGGTGCTGCACCCCATGGAGCTTGGTCACTTTGTAAATTGAATGCTGGGAGTTTTTGTTGGTACCTCATGATAACCGGTTTGTTCAAGGATGATACTGAGGAGAACTGGGGAATATATCACTCATGACTAGACAGGTCACTCAAAACAGCAACATTGACATGTGACCATACCCTTCTCCAGTCCTTCAAAGTTAAAAAAAAGTGTTTTTGTCATATATGGTGATTGAAGGGTGATATGTGAAAACTATAATTTCTCACCATCTTCTGCTGATTGTATGTATTTCTTGTGTGATGTTCATCTTGGTTCAGAAAACACACTCTCATGTGAGGTCTTGTTCAGTTTGGATTGTCATTGCACTACATTTAATATGAAATCCAGTGGTTAATGTGATATTGTGCTCAACAGGTGACTGTAGTGAGGACAGAGAGTCACCTGGCCAGGTTCAACAATGCCCGGGCCATGTTTGAGCGAATGGGTGAGGACAAGCAGAAGGATGAGGTTCTGCCTGCCACTCCACATCCTGCTGTTGCTCCAAAACCTCTGCGGGAGGCCAAGAAACCCCCTCAGCATTCCAAGTCTGACCCATTCCCTCCTCCAGCTGTTAGACCCCCCGTGATTCATGAAACTCCTGTGGCCAAGACGAAGAGATCTGCCTCTGACGTGCAGCAGCCACAGGTACCCGTGGAAATGATGAATGGACGCCAGGAACCGGCAGCCCCAAAACCCACAGTTCTGAATAATAGCACCCCAGCTGTTCGGCATCCTTCTGGTGACAAGGATCATGAACTGCGGCGAAAAGAAGAACTGGTGAGGAAGTTTTGGGGTAGTCAGGACTCGCAAGATCGACCAGAAGTTGATCCTGGGAAACCTGTATGTGCGAAGAAGCCACCGATGTTGACTGGTGTTTCTGTGCCTGTGCGTAAGACCTTGGATTCCTCAGATGGTATCGGTGACACAGAACAGCATTCCAAGACGACCCCTGGGTCATCGCCATCGAAGCTCCCACAAAGCTATGCCCGCATCAGTCAGAAGACATCTGATTCTTCAGATAATACTGACAAGGACAAACTCGTCATGTCCTCGTTGCTTCCTGGGGCTCTGGTCCGCCCACGCAAGACGTCCGATTCGTCCGACACCAGGTCGGACACCAGTGCTGATATGGATTGTCAAGCCAGGGTGGTTGTTGGATCATCTTCCCCAAAGTTCTCCCACAGTTATGCCCGCGTTGGTCGCAAGGCATCGGAATCTTCAGACGCTTCTGATAAGGACAAAACATCCTCATTCCCCCAGAAAGCAGATTCTGAAGCCTATTCTCCAAAACCTCAATCACCATTCAGTCCTCCTTCCTCCATGACACCATCAGAGTCCTCAGAGGACGATAAAGAAAGGTCTGGCAGGATGCGACCGAGCTGCACCCCGAGTGCAGAGGTGGTTCGCAAGCAGCAGACAACAAATGGCAATGTGTCGAGTGAGGACCTAAGTGGGGATGAGGTCATCATTCCCAGGCAGAAGTCCCTGACAGAGAAGCCCAAGGTGATGACCGAGAAGCCAAGCATTACAAAACTGGAACGCCGTCCGCCAGTGAACAGCAAGGAGATCATTGCAAAGCATCGCAACTGGATGTCTCATTTCTCGTCCGTGAAGAGGACTCCAAGCAAGGAGAAGTTGCCGGGTATCGGCTCTCCTCAGACACCCTTTGATTCTGTGGGGACCAAGACAAATGGAGAAGAAGGTGAGGCCTGCATTTCAATGGTGTCCATTTCTGTGTTAAAGGCTAGAGAAAAAGGAGGTTTCGATGCTTCCGGGAATATATTGATTGCTTGGGGCTACATGAGGCTAAAGGCAACCATAGAGGGAAATACATCATTTGCTGTGAAGCGGTGTTGGAAATGATTGTGGGAATGGGTTCTCACAGTTGATGCTAATTCACATCTAATCCTTTTTTCAAGAGGACATGAATCTGTTATCCTCGATTTAGGTCTGACTTCAATGGCTTCGTATTATGGTCATCTGGTCAGCTTCCTTGCATTGTCTATAGCATGAACTATTTGTTAAGGAGCTGAGCTGGCCTTGTTTCCACAATGGTTTCTATAGGGCCGGAAAGCTGGGAGGTGTCAGGGAAATACAAATACAGTTAGAAATTCAGGGAAGTACCTATAATATCCTTGAATTCTAGGAATTTTTTTTATGAATTTCCTTATGAAAAATGGAATTCCTGTTTAAAAATACAAGCTTCATTCAGGAGAATAATTTTCTTTTTAGACTTAAAAAATTAATGGAATTTGTTCTTACGATTTCGTGGAAATCCATTCTGGTGCCTAGTGATGCTTTATTAAAGCATCTCTCCAGGTTTATTAGAGCTGTACTTTGAGACCAGCAGTATTGTGCATGATGAGGAGATAATGATATCAGATCTCAGTTGGATATTTGAAATTAATCCTAGACAGGGGATGACGGGAAACATTTTTGTTATATGTCATGGTGATCAAAATGGGATAATAAAAAAGAATTTCTCACGACTGCTATTTTTCATGGGTAGAAAAAGTAACTGGAGTTTCCGATTAATATCCCAAAGGAAACGACAGTGATTTCTTATCAGGGCTGTCACGAAGGCCGTTTTAAAGACATCCATGCATCGACCAGTATTTATTAATGGTGCATTCATGCACTGGGAAAAAAATTTACCGGTACTTCCTTCAATTCTTCTTGCGGTCGATCGGAGGGTAGAGAGTCACCTTCCGTTATCTCTCATCGCGGTAGGGGAGCAGATTGGCTTCCATCGTTGCTCGCCGCGGTCATCGATCTGGGGGGGGGGGGGGGGGGGGGGGGGGGGGGGGGGGGGTTNAATTCCATCGCAATGACAAAAGGGATACCTTCCCGTGCATCCCCAAGAATCCGACTAGAGCCGAGCAGAAAATATGAAGCAATAAAAATACGTAAGCGAAGACACCATCTCCTTCAGACAGAGCAGTCTGCCTTCCCATTGAACCCGTACAAAACCGTCGATCCCTGTGAATGTCGTTAATGGCATCGATCCATTGTGGCGGCAATAATTATTGTTGACATCAATTCGAGTGTTTCGGCTATTCGTGTTCAATAGTCACTTTGGCATGTTGGCGGATCTAAAAGTTGTTCTTTGGAGAAGGATTTCTTCCTCAGATTCGACAACTCCTTTTTTATGGCAACACTATTTATAACCAGACTTGGTTACGTAAGAATCCATTTCCTAATTCTTGGCATTTTACCGTGCATTACAGAATTCATGATTTCATATTATTCTAACTAACTATAACTCTCTTAACGTTCATGCTAATTACCTTCAGCCCTCTGCTGCTTGCCCCCCCCCCCTCCCCCCCTGCTCCTTCCCTCTTATCTATCTGCCTCTTCCCCCCACCCATCCCGTGGGCGGGTAAAAATGTGGTTCTTGCTGTTGGTCCCAAGAGGGACCAACAGCAATAATTTCTCTCGGGGTTTCCTGATGGGATCAATCATTAAGTACGCTACTCATCCTGACACTTGTTTTTCTAATGACATCCCTCAGGAAGAGTGGGCTGGTGCCGTTCGGCATCTCTGTCGAGCACGGAAGAAAATGTCATCATGCAATGTACTCTTCCCAGGCGTGGGCACACGAATGTCTCTGCGTCTGTCTGATCTCGTGAAAAAATCATGCCGTGATTGAGATGAATGCTGGTCTTCCATGTCATTTGCTTGTCACGTTAGACTCGGCCTGTACTCGGGGTTCTCTGCCTTTTCCATCTCCAGAGTGACGCGGAGGATTCGCCCGGGAGTCTCGAAGTCGGACATCATTTCCGATGGTGTTTCCCCCCCCTCCCCCACGATGCGGCGTCGTGTCGATATTTTTTCGCGTCGAGTTATCCGTTACTGCATCTCTTGTTTCCTAGATCTCCCTTTGTAGTATTTGTTATAATTCGCAGTGAATTAGTATCCTTATTAAGGAATAAGAAGAAAAAGTTGCTGGTTATGCTGATACTATAGTGGAATTCCCAATCGCTGAAGGGAAAAGTATCATTTGCTTTCCATTTCTCCAAATCCTTTTATTTCTCGTCGCACAACTTTCATACTCAGCTACCTAAGAGCAGTTGCTTCTCAAAGAGGAAGGGACAAATTCTTCATGTTGCTAAAATGTATAGCAGGGGGGGGGGGTCATAGCCCCCTCTCTAAGGGGCTCTGCTGACTTTGGCCTGGGCTCATCCGTGTGTTTATCATGCTTTTTTTTCTCGATTCTGACTCACGGGTTCGGCTTCTCGGGGAGTTTTCCGCTTCTGTTTGTTGATGAAGGTCGAAGAAGGTTGGGACGCGGTTACGCATGGAGCGGGAATCCCATTATCGCTGGCGGAAGAGTTACCGGCGGGGTGAGGGGGGGGGGTGAGGGGGGATCCCCGTGAAGAGGAACGCATTAGTGGGTGAGTTTAACCCGGTGAAGCGTCGCGAAATGAATCACGGGGCGCTCCCGGTCCGTGGCGTTCGACACGCCGCTGTTGTCGGTGATGGAATCAGCGGGGATCTAAATATAGTGTGGTGGGTGGGCAGGGTTCCGTCCACGTCCTGAATGGCGCCAAAGCGAGTCCAGAAGAATCCAGGAAATTCATTAAATCGAACTCGAGGAGTTTTGTATGCGGTGGAGCTTTGGTGGTTGGAACCGCGAAAATGAAGCCCTTGCCAATTGTTTGGGAGAACACGTGGGGTGGCTTCCAAGGCGTGCTCGGGGATGCCAGATCGGGGGAGCGCGAATCGACGCTCTTTAAACCCATCTGGCAACCCTGCGTGTAGCAGTTCTTTTGGCACCTGTCCCAGGCTCAAGATGTGTTTTGTCGCCGTTCCCCTCCCCCCTCTCCCCCCCGCCCTCTTTCGCTCTCGAGTATCCTTCGGTCTCGTTCACGCCGTTTGCATTGTGCTGCTTTTGGGGTCGCGATAAATGTTCTCCTTTTGGAGGGAGCTCGCCGAGGGGGTGTGCTGTGCCGCGCCCGAGTCTGCGATCATCCCGATGAGGAACCAGCGGATGGCTCTGGTCGGAAATGGTATATTCTTTTGTTGCAAATTTGTCGTAGGGGTGGAGTTTTCTGTGTGCGAGGGGGCCGTGTGGGTATTTCGGGACCGTTTGTTCCATTAGATTCGGTGCCAGCTGATGGAAAGTCCGCCGTTATCAGGGCCGTTGCGCATCTTGGAACGTAGGAAATAAGATACTGGCTTTGGGAGCCGTACTGGGGCAGGTGCGTCATAACGAATTGGCATTCGCGGGGTAGGCATTGTCGGCAGTTCCTGGTAATTTTTTGTTCCCAGGTCGAAACGAATTCATGCTGCGAAGAGATGAATGTTCCTGGTGGGCCAGTGTCCTTGCTGGTGGCAACTAAATCGTGTTTGAGTTTCTCCTGCTGCATTAGAGAAGTAGAGGTAATTGTTTCTGCTGCAGTCATTCTCATCTGCAAAGTGAGATCTTCGGTTTTGTACGGGTTCAATGGGAAGGCAGACTGCTCTGTCTGAAGGAGATGGTGTCTTCGCTTACGTATTTTTATTGCTTCATATTTTCTGCTCGGCTCTAGTCGGATTCTTGGGGATGCACGGGAAGGTATCCCTTTTGTCATTGCGATGGAATTCTGCTTTAGTGCCTCGGAGAAACGCGGCCTGAGAAGTTCCATACTGCGACGGAGCATGTCAGCGCCGTGTTTATGTGAAGTCTGAAGGTCGGGCGTTTCGGGTGGTGGAATGGCAGTGTGAGGGTGACGTCATCGCGGGTTCCGCGATTCTCCGAAGGGATGATCGGCGCGTCTGTCGAGCGCGGGTGCGTGCTCTGGTGGCACGGATGCGTTAGACGTGAAGCGCGTGGTGCGTGACAGGTTTTACCCGGTTGTCCGGTGCGGGGGTGTCGGGGTTGGGCTCGGCGGCGCGCAAGGAGTTAATGACGACAGTTTGGCACCATCTGAAAGGATGTTATTGTTTTTCTGTCTCATTCTGCGGGAGCGAGGGAGAAGGAGACTCAGTGGGTGAAAAGAATACCGAGCGTTAACTGCTTACAAGCGAGATAAGTATTAGAAGTAAATCAAATAAAGTAAGCCATTTAAGGAGCAGGAGTTCCTTTCTTGCGTCGCTGACACCGACATATTACGTTCGTGTGTGCGTTTGGGTCTTTGCCTCGCTGTCTTGTTTTGATGAGTGGATGAGTATATATGTAATTAAATAGTTTATACACCTTAAAAGGAATTTCATGTACGAGTCAAGGGATTGAGATTTTTCTAATACATACAGTGTCCGTAGACAGAGTTAGACTGCAGACATTGACACCTTTCCTCGCTTCTTGACCTACAGATAACCTTCTCTTTTCCTGTCTTATCTCATCTAAAAAAATGTACCACATGCCTTGCTCCTTAATGTTGTTTAAACCATTAGTTCCTGGAAGACCTATTTTCACTTGTGTATTTTGTTTCCTTTTATGTTCTGGTCTTCACTCCCATCTTTTTCGTATCCATTTCCATCTCATGAACTGTATATTTATTTGCTTGAAATATGCCCTTTTAACTTTCATCTAAGCTTTAGGATAAGCCTCCTTTGTTTACTTAATGCTTTGGTACGTTGTCAGGAGCAATTTAATTTCTGTAAGGATAAGAAGCATTGGTCCTGGTCCAATATGACAAGTTTCTCCAATTAATTTATGTTTAAGTGGTTCTCATGCTGGTATTTGTACCTTTGCCAAAGCTTATTATTATTAGGCTGTCATTTAAAAAAAATGATTCAGGAGAGAATCCATATTTTGAAGTGAGTGAAGCCAGGCAGGTCTGTGTTATTTCAGCATCCTATCTTGAAGTAGACATTTTTTGTTGGCCTGTTTATGAATGACTTGTTTTGCACCATATGCCTAAGTGACGTTAAACCTTTAGAAGACTGGTATGCAGCATTTCTCCAAAACTGAAGTATACCAGTTGCATCTCCTCTTCTGTGAAAATTTTATATCTTAAGTGAGAGGCATGCACCATTGGGAGGATGATGGTAATCAAACTGGATGCTACAATGGCTTTCTCATTACATTGGAGTTTCTTCTTTAATATTCCTTCCTTGTTATTGTGATTGTGTAAATAGCACTAGATAAAGATGTTATCAGTCTGACAACCTTGCTTGAGGAAATTTAATGTCTCATTACATGTTCATTTTCATTTACATTTGAATATGCTGAATTACTATGAGAGTATGTGACTATGTTGTTACTATGAGGCTGACTAAGCACATGTATGTTCCTTTTGAATGTTGCAGAGAACAGGCCCACCAGGCCTCCCGTGCCCGAGTCACCTCCGACACTTCCCCCCGCGAAAGCAGACCCGGAACACACACCTCAAACGAATGCAGGGATGCTGGTGGCAAAAAGGAAACTCCTTTTTAATTCCCTTGGATCTGCAGAGGAGCCACCAAAGGATGAAGCCTCCTATGAACGCCTCTCCAACATGCACAGTGCCCCCCCTCCTCCTGAGATAAACTCCTCAACTGAGAGTCTGGGACTCAGCAGTGCTGCTGGAAGTGAAACCAGCAGTGAGGGCAGTCCAAAGCCAATCGTCAGCAAGGTGTCCAAGTTGGTGAGCTCCTTCAACACCGGCGATTCCTTGCCCATATCGACGAAGCCGAGTCCTCTGCCGAAGAAGGCCGTGGAGACCCCGTCCTCGCCTCCGCCACCCCCTCTGCCCCCCCGTGACCGCACGGGGCTCTCTCCCGTCCTCACCCACTTTCCCGAAAGTGCCAAGTTCAACGTCACCCTCCCGGACGTGTGTGCCGAGGCCACGCCACACGGTGTGGCTTCCCAGATCGATCTCCTCAACAAATCGAGCGTGTGTCAAGCTCAAAGTGCCGACATGCACGTAGAAGTGACCATTCGGGACCGGGAAGTGCTTCTGGTGGACGGTGCAGTGCAGTCCCGGACTCAGAGTGACGATGGATGGGATTCAGACCTTCCACTTGGCTATTCCACTGTGGGTGTTGAGGGCTATGGCCTACCACCCCTCATCTCTCCTACCAAAGATGCCATGCCAGCAAGTGAGTTTGAGGGATCAGTGCCTCCCATGAATCTGTGTAAATCATCCATCTTAGAAATGCACAGAAACATGATCTAAATAGTATTGTGCAACGGATGAAAGAGTCGTAATGACTTTTTCCCGTAGCCCTAGAAGGCAATTTTATGGTCATGCTAGAGCATATGATTTGATTACTTTTGTTGCATGGTTCCCAGTGATTATCTCCAATGGTCTTGCTTTCATTTTTCCCAGCTGAGATGATTCCCCCTGAGAAGGAAGATGAGAGTTCTGTGCACAGCTCCCTCCCTTCAACAGTGTCTGAGGAGATCCAGTATGACAATACAGTGAAGAGTGCCATGGAGGTCAGTGATTTATGTGATTCATTCATTCAGTTCTTTAAACCATATTTCGCCTAAAAGTAAGATTGAGCATGCAGATGAAAGATTAATATGATTGATCTTACCTAACAGAGCATTCTTAGATCCAAGGTTCTGTTGGTGGTCCCCATAGGTTCAGGAGGGAGTAAAGTCTGCAATGGTTGTTATCAGCATAAAATCTTTTGTTGTTTTCACAACCTCACCCCTAAGTGCCCATTGTGCAGAGAGAAGAGGAGGAATCAAATGACATGGCATTCATTTAGAGAAAGCATTCCCATGGATGTTGTTCACATGCACTCATACAGATGTCACTTTCATTCTCTTGTGTGTCCTCTCTACTTGAAGCTGTGTAGTTATTGTGGTTTTTACTTGTCTTTGAGCCATTGTCTTATTCCTTGTGCTAAATACCTGGAAAATTAGTCTGGCCCCCCTTTGTCTGTCTTTCTGTAATTATATTTATAGCTCCAGCTCATGTTTTGTTTTGAGCATTCTTACTATGATGTGATACAACCAATATGAGTAACCTGTCACATTTCAGGAAGTGCTTTCATGTTTATTGGTAAATACCTTTATGTATTTACCTATTCCCATTCTCTTTCTCCTATTTCTCCACCATTCCATTCTCTCCACTCATTCCCTTCTCCCTAACAGTTTTTGTTGATGGTGCTTAGGCATCTGGATATTAAGTTCTTTTTAAACTGTCAAATGATTACTGACTTTTACAATGAAAATCATATAGAATCTCTATGGTGGTATCTTGTTCTTGCAGGACATCAATGGTCGAGTTCAGGAAATCTTTTTGAAGAGGGATCTCAAACCAGAGGCTTTGATTAACTCTGCCGATGCTGATCTCTTGATGGATTCGGGTCCCGATTCCCTCCATAAAATGCTCAACAGCTCGGTGCTGCAACATCTCAAAGGTTTGGAAAGTGAGCCAGCCATTGAGGAAGCCCCTGACAGTATCCTTGATATCTTGGAAAATCAAAAGGAAATTGACCAGATCCTTGATAGCACTGGTTAGGATGACAGTGACTTTCTTTTCCCTCAGCCGGCATGTCTTTGAAACAATTACACAGCAGTTTCCCCTTCTACAGGCAATACAAAGGATGTGCTGAATGCATCATTTGAGCTGTCGGGTTCAGGCCCCGTCTCGATGGTGAGCGAGGAGAGCGCCATGTTCTCCTTGGAATCCTCACGTTCTGAGGTAGAGTCCATGACCCTTGAAGAACAAGACCGGCTCCTGAGTGAAAAGTGAGTCGGGGCATCTCGTCATCGATTTTATTTTATCTGTTTGATGGTAGCTGTACTGTAATGCATGTTGAAGCATTCCATGTGGATCATGCCCTTCCAAAAAGTATTGCATGGCACAGTAACAGTTTGGCTTTTTGTAATGGAGTGTGTCTGGTTGAAGTGTGTTTGCTTTTTAGCACATTACATGTAATAAGTTAGTATTCAACAATAGTTACCCCTTCATTTTGGCAGATGGCATAATGGACTTACAGACCAAAGAAATGTAGATGTAGTAACAATCTCAAAGAGCAGTTTTGATAACTCATGAGGTGCTTTGATTGTGTGCTAATGTAGCTAGACTATATTGTGTTCTTTTCAGTTTTCAGTTCTTTCAGAAGGCCAATTTAAAAATATGGAAACAGAAGGAAGGCAAGAGTAAGTTTTGGTGGAGGCATGCTCTGCAGAGATGTATGTTCAGACACCACCATGATGAACCAAAGAAGGTTTAAATCAGATCTTTACAAAGCTTTGTTCTCTGGGCTTGGATAAGACAGTTGTGACAGTGACTGTCACAACTATCTTATCCTTACTTGACAATTGATTTAGGTAATTGTGCACCTTCAACTTGAAATTGACTACCCACAAGGCTTATAGGACTTAGAGATTGAAGAAAACTCTTCATTGGTGCTCTTGATATGGTTAACTTATTACCTTATTGAAGGTTGAGTAGTTATAATACAGATGTGTATTTTAATGAATCATGTGAAGTCATTATCATATGTGTCATACATAATATGGGGTTTTGTGAATTTTCATGTGTGAATTTGTCAACTTCACCTCTATAACATTTGATTGTATTAAATCCCTGGTTGTGGACATGAAGTCTACAGTGAAGATTAGTCTGCCTCACCAATTTTGCTGATGGAATGCCGAGTTCAGTAGTTAGCTGTTGATGTATTTCCGATCTAACTGTGGGGTTGACTTTGGATCTCGGGACTTACTAGCAGACTTAACGTTGTTATCAAGTATGCTGCTAACTGAACTGGGCTTGTAGTGAATTGTAGTTGTTGAAGTTTATCTCTCTTTTCTACTAACCCATGCCCTTTTTTTGCCTTTTCCAGCATCCGTGTTCGCAATAATATTGGGTGAGTGTAGAATCCCCCTTGATTTCCCTATCTTCCTTTAAGTTTAGAAAGATCCATTCTTATTCTTATTTTGGATTTGTTGCAAGATCTTTATAAATAACCTTTGCATGCCTTTTGGCTGTCACACTTGGGTTAGACAGAAGGGGTTCTCCATCAATCTGTCAGTTTACCACCCCCACTGTCATCGCATGTTTTACCGAACATCTGACTGCATGTTAATCATATCTGAAATCTATAGACTTGAGGAGCCAATCGAAATGGGGAGTCAATGGGAAGGACCCGTGAAAGAAAAAGAAAAGATGGATGTGCAGAATTCCTCATTTGTATCTGAGAGTGAAAAAGAACCTGATTCCACCTTCAATGACAACATGAGAGATGGAATGTCAGAAGAGATGCTGGATGCAGAGGCCTTCTATGATGCCCTGACGACATCAGCTCCTCTGTTTCGACTCGAGGTACTGATCTGCCATTTTCAGTTGTATGGAATTAATGTAAGACACTCTTGGAACATGTTATCCTTGGCTTTGAATATCAAGCCTCTCATAGGATACAAAATAAACACTTGCTAGAATCTTGTGAGTTGTGGATTGAGCACTGAGCTCAAATTTTAGTGGGACATACAGAACTGTGGAATCTTCCTTTGCAGGATGCAGTAGAGATGGATGGAGTGCACTATTTCCCAGATGGCCACTTCTGGGTTGAGATTCCAGGTCTCTCGGATTCAGATCAAGAGGAGGAGGAGGATGACGATGATGGGGGCTTCCTCTCGTCCCGCTTCCACCACCATCCACTTTCCAAACCCCTCCCACCTCCACCTGCCCCTGCTCCTGTGCCCCCTCCGCCTTCCAATCGGAAGGTCCGCTTCTCTCAGGCAAGTTCTCCCTGGCATTTGAAATGTAGTTTTTTGCATGCTGAAGACTTAAGTCTGAAAGTATTGCTTGCATCTGCAGTCCCCAATACGAGTCTTCAGCACGTACTCCGTGTCCGAGTACGATCGCAAGAACGAAGACATAGATCCTGTCGCTGCATCTGCCGAATACGAGCTTGAGAAGCGGGTGGAGAAGCTGGAAGTCTTTCCTGTTGAACTGGTGAAAGGTCAGTCCCTGCTTTATTCTTATGACTGATTAGATCCTATTCTGCAAGAGATGAGAAACATCATGTTTTCAAAGAAATTTTTAAAGAATGTTATGAGATTGATTTTTATAGGTCCAGAGGGTTTGGGTTTGAGTATCATTGGAATGGGTGTGGGAGCTGATGCTGGTCTTGAGAAGCTGGGGATCTTTGTGAAGACCCTCACTGAGGGTGGGGCTGCACAGAAGGATAGCCGAATTCAGGTATGGCCTGTGTTTAAGGTGTATTCATTAGCATAATTTCATTCTGCTCTCTCTTTCTTTCTCCATTTGGTATTACTGACAAGGGTGTTAGCAACCCATGATGCATATTGTAGAAGATAAGGAAAGGGTAAAATGAGCAGAGAGGGAAGGGATGAGGAAGAAAAGGGGAACCTGCTCTTTGAATTTTGAATAAAAATAAAGAAAGGAACAGTCAAGTAAAAAATTTAGGTATTTTATTGAGACTAGTCATTCAAATAATTGTAGTCCCCTTCCTTGGGCCAATTTTAGCCCATTTTAGGTGAATCATATCTATCCATTAAACATCAATTTTATGGATATTTGCTTCAGTTTTCAAGACAATGACTAATAGTTTCTGTGGTTCATCCAAAGATTTACAAGAAGATGGCAATGATGTGTATACTACTGAGGATATGGTACTATGTGTGCATCGGCGCTATATCTCCTTGAAACTTTTGAATGAATTGCTGTCATTTAAGTATTTGCCCCATCTGAATTTAGTCTTAAATTACTTGACCAGAAGCACACAGATCTCAACCCCTTCTCAAACAAGTCCCTTGAATATAGGGTAAACCCAGAGATGGGCCACAACATATAACAATTCCAACAGCTAAGCTTCCATAGCATGCCTACCCATTGTGACATAGGCTAGTAGTGTTCAAGCACATACACACTTCAGGTGGTATTCATGGAACAAATGACTAGTTTTTGGAATTTTCCTGTGACATGGCCCATCACTGGGTATTTTACCCTACCACTATTTTAAAAATAGAACTCTCTTTAAGAACACTTTGGGTGTTGCTACTGCAGCATTGGTGCTACCATTGCAGCATCAATGTGGAAGTGCTTTTCAGGACAGAAGGAAGTGCATTTGAAACTAGGGTTGAGTGTGTCTTCATATGTTCATTGATGCAGGTATTTTGTATGGCTAATTTTTTTTTTTCTTTTGTTACCTCTGACCACCACTTACTTTTGCTGACAATCTGAGTTTTCTGTGAAATGTTTGATATTATTTGGATTATTCTGTGACAGGTGAATGATCAGATCATAGAGGTGGATGGGAAGAGCCTGGTTGGGGTGACCCAGGCATATGCAGCCTCGGTCCTCCGAAACACATCTGGTCCGGTGAGGTTCCTCATTGGACGTGAAAGGGACTCTGAGAACAGTGAAGTGGCCCAGCTCATTCGCCAGTCTCTTGAGGTATCTCTTTCCCTTATTTCTGCTTCTCAGAGTTCATGGGCTGATCCATTTTAGAAACGTCAGCACTTTTATGTATTTGCTTGTTACATAAATAGTAGAGCTTCTTATTTCATGTTGTGCAGATTGTTAATATATATTCTGGGTTGATAGTGGTATGTAGATAGCACCACAACTCACAGGCTGCAGATAGTATTACATTCCATTTCTAACCCTAAAAAAGTTATGATGTTCTCATGGGACTGTAGCAACAAATAATACCTGTTGTGGAGCAGGCAATGTACTCTTTAAAACTTGACATTGAAAGAATAAAGCTTGAATAAAGTTAGACCATACGTGGTTTACGTGACTTAGTTTTTTTTTCTTTCTTGGTTCTCATTATCTTGTAGTCTGTGACCATGAAAGCTGATTTCAGGATAATATCTCCCAGATGACTCTCAACTACACTAGACTAAAGGCCTAATTTATGGAAAAATGCCCTTTGTGAAGGGTGAACTTGCTTCCATCAGTTATGATATGGTTATGGTTAAAGAAGACTTGTGATTGGTCTGGGTTTGGCTGGTACTTCTGTGAAAATTAATATGGGATATTTTGTTGCACATTTACCTATTTGAATGTGTGGGGTTTTGCATATGCAGAAAGGCATTACAGGAACTGTGCTGGCATGCCAATAAATCTTATGCCATTGTCTTTTACCATTTATTGCCATGTAAGGTTTTTGCTACCATTCCACCATAATAAGAATCTTTTCTTATTTTACCTTTCATTTGTGTGCATAGACCCATGGAGTCCAAACACATGCATTCATTTTGATTTTGCTTTTTGGTACTTTGTTTTAGCTTGCATTAATCGCTTTTGTTTTCCAGGCTGATCGCTTGAGGGAGGAGCAGAGGCGGATGAATGATTCTTCAGCCCATAACAGTGCACCAAGTTCTGTCACTCCAGATGATGTGAATCAGTTAAGGGAGAAATTGCTCGAGGTGAGTGTAATTGCTTTTAGTCAGATTGAACAGTGCAGAAATGCCTTCAGTGGAGACACTTCAATGTATGTTAGTGTAGCAAGTTTATTGTTGTCATATGAATGAATGATGCCCAATACTGATTTCTTCCTTCCAGAGTTGGATGTAATCTTATGTACAGAAAGACAAGACATTACTCATTTAATTTAGTATCAGCATCAAATGATGCTTTCAATCACAATGCACTGCATTGTTATAGGTTGCAGCTGTCTGAGTAGTAAAGTTGGCAGGTGTAACAAGATTTTAACTTTTTTTTTGGGTACCCTATTGCCTGTTATGATTAGCATTCTATTGATTGGCATTCTATTGATTGGAAAGATTTAGAAAAAAAGAAAGAAAAATTAATTTAAGAAATAAATGCTTGTTGGAATGTTACTGTTACTATTTGTATGGCTAAGATGTGAGTTGGTAGCCAATATTGGTGCCATTGTCTATAGTCAGTAGAAATTTTGTACATATGATTTTCAAGTTGAGTTGAGAGTGGTGAAGTGAGATGAAGAAACAAGTAAGGTGAAGTAAACTGATCCAGTTCCAGTTGCCTTGCAGCATTTTGCTGTCAATTTTTTTGGCTTCTTCACTTTAAGTTGAATCTTTCTTCTGGCTTCCCTGCTCTGTTCTAAGTCACTGTATTCAGTTGTAAAGCACCAACCACATGAAAAGTTTTTGCATTAATTTTGCTGTGTGTTTATTGTTCACCCATCCTTCTTTCCTCTCCCTGGCTACAGATTTTTCAGAATTCTTAAGCTCTTGAAAATTGAAGTGTCCTGTGAAAGGTGTAGTCATACGAGGTCTGGCAATAAAGTTCCAGGACTGATTTTTGTGAGTCTGTCAATATCACAAAAATTATTTTCATTCCATGGACTGATAGATTAGACTGTTGGGCAGTGTTGTGTCAGCCCTCATCTGACTAGCATCTTGAATGAGA